ACATTACACTTTTACTAACAATATGTTTTTGTATTTATAATGCAGAAATTGGAGGTATGGGTTGCTGTTCAGGGGTATCTGAAAGTGTAAATTTACAAACAAAATATTGTTTGATGTTAAATTACTCATCTTTTACATAAAAATTGAGAGGTTAAAAAGTGTTAACAGATGTAGTTTTTGGTTTGTATTTTGTAAATGAGCTTTTACACCTTTTATGCATGTTTGTCTGGAAAAAAACCCATTTCATATACATTCCAGTAAAAGTTCATTTTTAAGTTTTGTGAAATATGCATAAGGGATAAAACTCTTTTTTTTCTCTACGGATGACTCACACATAATAGTCTTTTTCAATTAATCAGCGTAGTGTATCGAGTGAGCTCATAATCCTCATTTTCTCTGCTCCTCTTTGACTGCCAATATACAGTCCTGATATTTGACTTATAAAAAGTTGTTGTAGAATGTGAGTGTTGAGTCCCTCTGCATAGATACAGAGTGACATAATGAAGACTTAGCAGATAATTTAGTTTCTCTGCAGCATGACAACAACATTGAACCAAGACAGGAAGAGAAGGTTTTTTGGGGGTTAGACTTTACTTTATAGAAGTTAACAAAGATAAATATCTATGGTAGGATAACTGACACTGCTACCCTTTTATTTGGGCGTCAGAATTTAACCCAAGCAAATGACTAACCCCTTAAGGACACATTATGGAAATATTCCATCATGATCCCCTTTTATTCCAGAAGTTGTGTCCTTAAGGGGATAATCATAAATTCAGTTCCCTTTTGTACAATTTACAAACTTTAGACCGTACTGTTTTAATGTCACCTCTTAAGGCATCATCAAATGAAAGGTCTAGTCTAGAACAAGTCCACATAGGCACTGTTATACTTGTGTCTGTCTGGATATACTTGTGCCTGTTATACTTGTGCCTGTCTGGATACAACAGGCAACATATACTCAAAGTCTTACTCAATTTGGAAGTTTTAATGCAGCAGTGACATCTAATAATTAGTCTAGAATTCTGTTGTAGACGCCATGTAGTAAGTTCTATTTTGAAAAGCTAAAACGTTTGCTCTTACTTTTGTCTTGATTTATTATTTTTGGAAAACGTTTCAAATGATTCGAAAAATATTTTAATATTTTGACATTTATTTTTTGATAAATCAATATTTTTTTTTTATATTTTTTTACATTTAAGATTTTGAAATATTACATTGAAATGCTTGTCCAAAAGTTGAGGCCTATGTGTTGGGAAGGAATATGGTGTCTCCCATCTTACCAGTTTGCAATCACACTGAAATAAGAGTTCTCTCTTTTTTATAATCACCTATCTTCGTAATGAAATATGGGGATTCAGTTCCACCATATGGCCATATTGTGTTAAGCCCACCACTACGTCCCAGTACCCAATATCGGTGGGTCCTACATAAACTTTAACATGGGAGATCAACATGCTAACTGCAATGTTTTTACTTCCTAAACTGCTTCCAAAACCTCTGCTAAATGTATGCTTTCCCGTGGTCACCTCCAAAGAGACTCCTATTGTGGATGGGGGGCTGGGAGGCTCACCCCAATAGGAATCTGGTCTGGATTCCAAATCTACACTAAAACAAAGGGAATTTGGGGCACACCATAGCGTCTCTATAGCAGAACCTTATAAAGTGCAGATTTCACCGTTGGCAACAAACATATTCATATCTGAAATAATACGTGTTTGGGAACAAGCTGATCTAACCCTGTCTCTTGAAATATTCTCTTCCTGTAAATAGACTGAAACTTTGATACCAATTATTTAGAAAATTTCCTCAACAGTAAATCATTGTCAGTTTAATGGCCTAGATTTATCAATTATTTTTGATCGTTTTCAGACTTTTTCCAAGTCTCGAGTCCCTGTACAGTTTAAGTAGGTTCCACTTATACGACTTTTAGGACAAATGTAAACCTAATTTGACTATACAAAGTTACTTATCCTTATGATTAATTGTTATGTTTATAATGCGTAGTATTGGGTCTCAAATGAATTTATCTTTGACAAATCATCTGAGAAACTATTCCTAGAATACACTACAATTCACAGCCACAATCCTTAAAGGGACACTTTAGTTACCGGAACCACTACAGTTTAATGTAGTGGTTCTGGTGTCTATAGACTGTCCCTGCAGGCTTTTTAATGTAAACACTGCCTTTTCATAGAAAAGGCAGTGTTTACATTGCTACCTAGGAACATCTTTAGTGGCAGTCATTCAGATGGCCACTAGAGACGCTTCCTGTGTCAATGCTGCACAATGTGTAGTACTAGCAGTCTGCTCTGCATGGAGGAGCTGAACATTCCCCATAGAGATGCATTGATTCACTGCATCTTTATGAGGAGATGATGATTGGGGCAGCGTGTCATTTTACCGCTAATGCGCAATAGCCTCCCAATGCTTTCCTATGGGAAAGCATTGGATTGGCTGAAATCATCAATTTTGATTATCTCAGCCATGGAGGCGGAGCCAGCCACAGTGAGGCCTGTGCATTGTGGGAAAATTGTGAGTTTAAACACCTTTTCTGACCAATGCAAGAGGAGCCAGGTACCTAAACAGTGGGTTTAACACTGTAGTGTCAGAAATAAATGTTTGTGTTCCTGACACTATTGTGTTTCTTTAATAAATGAGAACTTGTTGGCTTTCCTAATATGCCTTAGAGGGGAACTATCTTAAACTAACTTTTGATATGTAGCGGAATACATTCATACATGCTACTTTGTAGTGTCCATAGCCCTTTAGTGTAAATTAGAGTCTTTATTCCCTCCTTCAATCTCTATGGATGACATTAATTAAAATAACATGGCTAAGGGTGATAGCCTGTGTTACATACAGTTAGACAGTCCAACTGCTGTCTATAGAATACTCACGGAACACAGCAGCTCACACTGGAGGGATGAGAATGAATAAAGTACCAATTTCTTTTAAAACACATTAATAATTTAATAAATACATAATTTAATAGAAATTATATCTTTGCTATCTAGTAAGTATAAGTTACAACATCTGTTCCTTTGTGTTTGTCTCTTTTGCATTGAAAAGGCCTCTTGTTGTGGGATAATGTCACATCAGAATCAATCACAGCTCTTCCCTTGCAATGGATCCCTCACAAAAAGACACCCAAGGTCTTCCTTTGCAAATGATCCCTCCCAAAGAGACAATCCAATGGTTCTTTGTCCCCACAAGTGAAATTTTACTTTGATATTGACTCCTATAGGGATGTCGGCTCATCCTCTGGATTACAAGATCTTTTGAGCAGGGTCCTCATCAACCTATTGTTCCTGTAACATTTTGTAATTGTATAATTTATTGTTACATTTCCTCTTTTATAGTATTGTAAAGCACTGTGGAATAAGTTTGCGCTATATAAATGCCGTTAATAATAATAATAATTCTAATTCCATGTGCAGAATATAGAAAAAGTCTATATCAGGACTGAATTGGTCACAGCAAAGTCATGAAGAATGTATTTTTGTTGGAGTTCCCGAATCATGTCCTGATTTGTGAACCTAACCCCCAACCTCCTTAATTAAGATCATTTGTATTTGGTATAACCACATTTAAAATAGGGTCACGCAACTCACATTTTCATTGCCAGGCTATGTACTGTCAAAGGGCAACCCTTTTATACCATTGGGCTACAACGCTCTTAATATCATGAAAGTAAATGCCTGGCAGAGAATTAAATGTGTTATGTCCAACAGCATTTGGCATCGGATGCAGAGTTTAATTCCCCTGATATGCCCATGTCTAGTGTCACAGCAGTGTTGTCCTGCAATATGCGTAGGAACCAACGTATCCACATAGGAGAGACTCTGAAGCTGCTGTGTTTTGAAAGCATTCTAACATTGCACTGTCACTAGTAACCATTCTAGCAGAGACCAAGAGACCATCCTCCACCCTCTCCTTGACAGACAAAATGTCTATTACCAATGAGTGGTTGCTGATCAGGGCCATAACAAGTTGTTAGAGGGTCCTGTGCAGGTATTTTAAGGGAATCCCCATGGAACTAAACATGCAACACACACAGTCCATAAGACTATAATGCTGCAATTAACTTGCTGTTTCAGATCCTGAAAGAGACACTGAGTCAGGGCCACTAAAACCAGGGACAGACAAGTTCAGACACTTCAGCTAGAAGTAACAACAATCCCCATGATGCTCCTGGGTAGCTATGGCATTTAATTTTCCACAATTAAAAGGATGGCTGTGTATCCTGGGAAATTAGATTCTACAGCAGCTAGGGTGACAGGTGTTTCTTATTCATGTCATGACAATATTGATTGTAGGGAATCAGAGTGACTGGAGGAGACCTTTGACTGAACAACCAGGAAGTGACAACCAAGTCAATTTTTCCATAAACAGAAAGTCTCAGATACACCATCTGTCCTGGATTAAAACTCACATGACTCCCAGTCAACCACAACCATGTTGATAATTATAGTTTACAGTAATTATATATTCCAAAGAATTCATGATTCCTGTAATACTGATTGCAATTTTATAGAATACACAGTGTGTGGTTATGTGTCTCTGTCTGTGTATATTTACCTGTTTGAGTGTGTTACTGTATCACAAATATGAACACTGCAGTGTGCATCAATCAGTCTGCCTCTTGTGTGTGGCTCTGTCTGTATTGTAAAGCTGTACCCTGTTGATCCTTAATACTTGTTGATTAAATTTTCATTTCCTGAATGATGACATTTTATTCAAGACTACTATACTGAATTACAGAGATTTGATTCCAAGGAGATTAAAGCTGATGAGCTATTTAAAAATGCATTATTTTTCAAAATGTGCACAAATTTACATCAGTTGAAAAGTACTCACTTTGACCTTCAAACTTCCTGATAATTGTGTCCAGGTAGGTATTCTGAGGGGCAACATGCCCCCTCCTCACTGGCATCTTGGAATCTTGTGCCTCCTCTTAGTATGAGAAATGAAAAGTTACCAGCCCTTCCTGGAAAGCTGTCTGAAAGTCTTTTAAAGAGGAGATCTGCAGAGCACCATAGAAGGAAAAAAAACCATGGAAAATCACATCCCAAAGCACATCCCTTGGCTTCATGGCAAAAACATTCTGCAGTTCATTCCAACCAGATTCCAGATGTAGCCTTGATCTTGCCTTCAGACAATAGTGGAGGTAAATAAAAAAATAAACAAAATAAAAGCAGGATTTTTAGGGGTCTTTGCAGAGACAGGAGTTGCAATAAAAGACACAGCTAATTCTGATTTCCTACAACCTAAAACATGTGCCAAAGAAACAGAGTTGTCAGGAACAACACATGCTACAGTGACAGCTTCTGTTCAACTCCCAGCTCCAACGAGCTTCCTAAAAAATAAATTAAAAAAATAGATCCTTGTGGAATGTACTAAGGAGGTCAGAGATCACAGGAGCAGTTGATGAAAGCGAGAGGCAGCTGATGAACTGCCTGGTCGACACACAAGCTCAGCTCTGCTCCTTGCTCCTCAGATCAATGGTTAAGATACTGGGAGCTGTCCTCGCTGTGTGGTTCTGAATGTACAGTTAGTAATCCTCTGCTGGGGAGGTGGGGGGAGGTGGGGTGGAGCGGGTCTCCATTAAATCCGGCATCACGTTGCATGTGCAGACAAGTCTTATTTCCCGTGTATATAATATAAGACAGAAAGAAAGAAATCCCTGATGCTCACCCCTTGGCTGCTGGACAGATCTGCTGCCTGTGATAGATGCTGAAATTTAAATTGTAACTTACAGATTCATGGTCTTTTTTTTTTTTCATTATTCTTTTTGGTTTTTTTGCAACAGATAGCTCATAGCTCTAGTCTTCCTGCATGTAGACTATTTAATGCTATGAGGTAGGTAAAGTGGAGGTTATTTATAATATAGGAAACATTCTAGGGGCAAAGTTCTAAAAGCAGATACGTTAAGGGAAACATTCCACCGGTTTCCATGGCGACTGGTCCTCTTTTAGGACGATATCCCAGATGTCACCTTTGCACATAACCCCAAAGTAACAATCTCAATGCAGGGTGCAGTCTCAGTTCATTATTCCCCAAAAAAAAGATCAACTAACCTGCTATAACAGCTCTTAATGATAAGGGTCACTATTTACAAAATGGCCTTTACCCTTTATTACTGCGGAGTAATTTTTTTTGTTTTTCAGTTATTTTGTCGTGTTTTTTTTTTTTTTTTAAAGAATTCTTTATTTTTGTAGTGCTTTGCAAATTTCACACATTAACAGAGACATTGCAAAAGGTACCATCAGAAAATATCAACTCGTAGAGTACATCACATGTCTGATTCGCTGCCCTTTTTAAAAAAATTATAATATCAAGATGTATATTCATGCTCGTAAAACATAGAGTAGGGTAAATGATGGTAGATTGCTATACACAAGCTAAACATGCTGAGAGAGGCCCAAGTGGGTAACATATTCGAATCTAGGGTGCAAGATTTGTATAAAACCAAAGCTTTTGTGATGATGATCTGCTACACAGCAAGTAACCCTTAGTGGTAAGAGCGAAGGGGATCATTGGCAAAGAGACTGCAACACATGAACATAATATTAAGTAAATAAAACTCTTCGAGATACTTTGGTCCCAGGAGCTGTTCATGCTTTTCGCCCCACGCCATCTCTTGTGGTTTGATGAGTCAGTCCAGAGATAAGGACGAGAAAGGGCCAGAGTGTCGCCGAGTCGTGTGGCATTCCGTTTGCCGGCTCATTGAACTCGATTAAGGTTGTGCCTATCACCGCGTATTTTGTTGCCTTTTTAATGCCTTATCCTAACAATACAGGCAGATTGGTGGGAAAATATCTCAGCTCAGACACTAGGACAAAATTGATTTATATTAAAGAAATTAAAGAGCATTGCAACATTTGGGCTGTGGATCTTTATTATTTTTTTATATTTTTATATTACAGATATGATGCACCTAGATGTGTTTCTTGCCCCATGAGTTTTATGTCCAGATATTGGCATAAACTAAATCCCCATTTTTATGTGCTAAGATAGGTGATTTTAAGTAGCCTTGCAAAATGTTAAACTGTGTTTGTTTTTGTGTGCGCGCTGTTTCTTTAACTGTATTTTGGTGATATTTTGGACTTTACAGTAGCACTACTTAAAAATTCTGGGTGTGCCCCAAATTCCCACTTTTTTCTGTGAAGGTTTAGAATACAGACGAGGTTCCTCTTGAGCTGAGCACCCCCCACATCCACTGCAGGTGCCCCATTGGAGGTTTTTTGTTTTTCTGTGTGCACTGTTCCTTTAACTGTATTTTGGATATATTTTGGTCTTTACAGCAGTGCCACTACTTAGTAATGCATGTTCTGGGTGTAACCACAATTCAATTTTTTCTGTGTAGGTTTACAATACAGATCAGGTTCCTCTTGAGCTGAGCACCCCACACAATAACTATAGATACCCCTTTGGAGGTGACCACAGCAAAGCATATATTGAGGAGTCTCTGGAAGGGGTTTATCAGTAAGTATTGTAAATGTAAATCTCCCATGCTAAAATTAGTGTAGGACCCACTGATATTGGGGATGTGTGACGGAGTGGTGGGCTTGACACCATGAGGCCATATGCCTTAACTAAATCCCCATATTTGTTTGCTAAGATAGGTGATTATAATACAGCCTTGTAAAATTTAAAACTCTATGTTTGTTTTTGTGTGTGTGCTGTTCCTTTAACTGTATTTTCAAATGTGGACATAGCTGCTTACTATAGATATCCTTGCTTTATATTCAAGGCTAGAGTTCTTGTAAATAAAATTGCTGCTATAGACACTTTTACTGTACATAGCTCTGTCACTAAAATTTTGTTTCCATAAATCAACTTAAAACAATAAACGCATGTTCTATCTCATAAAATAATCTCAGTCTATAATTTGCTGAGTGATTCACAACGTCCCAGATGATAGGAAAAAGGAACATATTTCATGATAATGATGATGATATTGTGTGTCCACCGTGCCCAAAGAAATGCCAAGCACAGTTGATCAATTTATATTCTGTTTTATCAACCTAAGGCTTAAAATTGCATCAGCTGTTAAAATCAGATTAACTACTGAATGTTTCCTTTACAAAACAAAAGGCACTAACAACAGGGACCTAATAAATAACAGCCACAGACAGCTGACAAATTAAACACACTAAAAACATTTCAACAATGCTGTATAACAATTTGCTAGGTAGTAAACAAAACCAATCATTATTTGTAAAAACAGTCAACTGATCATATATAGCCATAAAAAAAACCACGTACATCAGGAAAATGCCATTCTACCCAGCTATTGGCTTGCTGGGATTATTTTCTATTTATTAATTGCAGTGGGACTTAAGGGATTTTTATTTTAAGGATGGCCTATTTCTAAGGACTAAAGATGAGAACTCGAGGGCATTGGTAGAAAATTGAGGGCATTTAGGATAATTGTAATCATTAATCTATTTTATTTTACATTGATTTTCTTTCTAGTTAAAGGTTAAGAAAGACAATCATTTGTTTGCCAATTAAATTTACAATATGGGAGGGTGATAATTAATTTATCTATTTGGGGTAGAGGGTGTACATTTTATTAAGGAATGGTTTTATAGGGTTTACAGCTCTTTTCCCCAAATTTCATTGATTTTTTTGGGGGGAGACTGGAAAGGTAAGAATTTAGGACTGGGGACTTTACAGTTACTAACCCCATTTTTATTATTGCACTTCATTCCCGTAACCCAGATAGAAGGAAGATAATTGGCATATCCACCAGCTCACTCTGTTCAGTATATAAAACATTGCTTAAGGACCAAACTTCTGGAATAAAAGGGACTCATGACATGTCATGATTCGCTTTCATTCCAGAAGTTTGGTCCTTAAGGGGTTAAGGGGTTAAAGAGCACAGAGAAATGAGAGATTAACTCCAGTGGAACAAAAAAAGGTAAATTTAGCGGGCTTAAACTGATCAATACATGCATAAATTTACATTTATACTATTAAGGTGGTGAGATTTGTCTTACTTCCACGGAAGCGAATTACGTTTTAGAAAGTTGCCTGTCAGTGCCTGCTGTTTGGGTTAACTAGGAGGAAATTAGAAGTTATGGATTTGTTTTAAGAGTTAAACATATTTTTTTTTTAATTCTTGATATAGCTTAATGCTGGGACTCCAGCTGCAGAATCTCTGGGAGTTAAGGTTCTCTGCAAGGTCAAAAAAACTTTTAGTCCCTTTTCAAGGTCGATAAACTGCGTTCCGGTACATTGGCTTATAACAAGACTGAAAAGTCCAGAAAGGCATGGAAACTAAACAAAGCCTTTATAGATCAAAATTTGAAATAACACCAATAATATAATCAGGACTTAAAATTCCTCATCTACTAGCCAGGCCTTAAAAGTTACTTGCCATTGTAAGCCCGGAGAGCGAGTAAATTCATCAGGAGTAACATTCTGCATACCAGGGCAAAATTTTCACTGCACCCTGATATAATTATTATAATTGTAAACCTTTCAATAGGAGTCGGGATTGAACAACTGGTAAAAATCAACATTGGTTTTTGTTTTGTTTTTTTCATTTATAAGCCATTGAAGAATACCAGACAATGAAGAAAATAAAACATTGTCAAATTGTTTCTGCACATCATCATCTCTCCACTGATATCATACTGAATATTTTTAAGAGTATGGCATTTTGATATTTTGAATTATTAACAATCACCTAAATTGCAAGTGCTTCATCAATCATGTAGCGCAGGGATATAATTAATAATGTCCTGCGGAGAAATCACAGGGGGCACATCAGTGAATTTCCAAAGTTGTGTTAATTGGATTTCACATTGACAGAATTTATTGAATGCAGCTTCTATAGTAACTTAAACTTTCCATTATTAAATGTTAAGTCAGTTAAAAGCGGCTCGGCATCATGCTTGGTCTGTGGCATTTAATATTGCAATCAGGATGAATCAAATAGTGCAACGAACCTAAATATTTTTTTTAGCATTAGGGATTCTTATTCACTGATCCAGTGATAGTTAATTCCATGACCAACTCCTTAAAATCCCCTGTTTCAGTAAATAATCCTGCATGTGTCAATTTCAACTGCACAAATACACTATCACGACAATTAAATTGTTACTACGTAATCATTAATTACAACAACAACAAAAACAGAATTAAGAAACTATACGTCAAATTAATAATGAAATAAATACAAGTTAGGAATATATCTGACGTAAAAAGATCTCCAGGGCCCCTGCTCCTTATGAATAATGTGCGTCAAGTCGAGGAGACAATTAAATGGTTTGGGCATCCCTACAGTTTCCCTTTTCACCTGGGAAGCTGTTGAAATACTCTCCCTAGACTGCTATGTTATTGCATCTCAATCATTTACTCGTTCTATGACATGGGGTGTAGCCAATGTACTTGGACTGCCCCCCTACTCCCTCGCC